CATATGGTGGAGAGCCATCGTTAATATACACAGATTTTGAAGTAGATATAACGCGTAAAAAGGAAATCACCACTCCTCATTTGCACTTCCCCAATTTGGCGTCATTGTCCATAGGAGTTGGGATAAAAAAAACACTGTAATTAATGGGACATGCAAAGCAGCACTATTGTCTTTCAGAACAATCTATCCAGAAGAAACATTAACAAGTTTCAGCCAAATCCTCGAGATCCTGTGAGATACATGTACTGGATATTGGAAGTCATGCTATCACTTTGCATTTACGATATGGCCATAATTTCAGAATCCACAATCTAAAGTTCCATGAAATTGCCTCACCAGTTGATTCACTCTTTTCTGCAGGAGTACAATCCGGTAAAATCACAGCTTTTGCCAATAATATTTAGTAGTCAAAACTTGAAAGATTCTGAGGAGGATTGTCAGAGCCCATCCTCATGGCCCAGCCTGTAGAGTTCACACGAAATTCACTAACAATGAAGTTTGGCAAAAAGTATTGGCACAGCTTCAATTCTAATGCTAGAGTCCTTCTTTTCCCAAAATGACAAGAACACCACTGTGAGGTCAACTTGTAGTGATTAAAAAAAAAAAAAAAACTAGTTAAGAGTGTACCAACAATAATCATGGGGCTAAAGTTACTGATGGATTGCGACTTACCTGTATCCAGATTAATCCCGACTGGCTTGGAGAGCTGATGGCAATTGGCAACTTGATGAGTAACTAGCAGAGAGCAGACTACCAGCTCTACATCCTGGAATAATCAAATTAGGGTTGCAAAAACTGACTCCATCGATAAGAAAGGCAGAGGATGCCAGAAGTTTGAATCAAGACGGAGCTGTTAAGCCCTCCATTTTCATCATACAATGGTACTTTGATGGTGCAACAGCACCAGCTTTTGTACATAAATCCACGACAGCAGGAGCATGACCGTAGTAGTCCCGGCCTTCATTCTTAAGTACTGCCGGATCTTGAAGGCGTCGATACCATACTATGTTTGGTCGAACCAAATCATCTACCCTTGCCTTTCTCCAAAAGTGTTTCCCGCGCCAACCCTCATATTTAAACACACCACAAAGGCGAGCCTTATGGCCTGATGGCCCGACATGAACTTCAGAACAGTGTTCACAGACTTTCGTAGGATAAACCAACAACAGCTTCTCTACTCCAGACCTAACTGTCTCCCAAGCCTTCAGTGTTGCGTTCGCTACAAGCATCATCTCCTTATCTGATAGTGACTCAGCTCCAGCAACAGCACCAAGAATATCGTCCTGACTATAACTATTCAAGTCTAGCATTTTATCATTTACATAAGCTCCCGCCTGCCAGCACAACTCCAAAACTGCTGGGATACGATCAAAATCAAATCTTTGATTATGTTCAATCACATTCTGAAACATGTATTTCAGATGAAATGCCTCTACTGGGACTAATATGTTGTTCAAGCTCCCACTAGTCCACTCATGAACATGAACCTTAGGGCGACGCCTAAAACCACCACAAGTTCGAATCTCATGACCACTTTCTCCAATAAATACTTCTTGACAGTACCTGCAAAGAAACAACTTGAACACATAACCAGGTGTGCAAATGAGCCTGAACAAGCCAAACACAAACACTACAATAAGCTTGGTTTAAACTCCTAACAAGCTTCAAAACTGTGTCTGAGATTTTGTATTATTTTCCAAGTCTAGCTCAAACGAGCTTTCACTGTGCCAACCTCAACACGTAGTAGATCGATTTCAGGTTTCATACATATCAAGTCAAGCTTGCATTGTCTTGTCCAGCTCATAACCCAATGTATAATGGCTTTTACAAAGTGGAACTCTCAACTTGGAATTAAGTATTCCCTGTTTTCCCATTAAAATGTATCCAAAACATGGGAAAAAAAAACAATAAACTGATATAAATCATCTCCAGTGCGTCTGTATAACTAAAAACATTCTTCTCGTTATTAGATTTCATCAAACTAAAAAACGAGAATGATTTTCAAAAACTGGACAATACTAGCATGAATTAAGAAATCAACAAGGCTTATCAAGCTTGTAATATACTGAGATAAGATGGTTCATTGGAAAATGAAAAGGGATGGGGTGGAGGTAAAATTACTTGCACGCCCAAACGGGAACTCTCTGGAGAAGGATGGAAACGCCTCGGTAGAGGGTTGTTCGGGCCTTGAGGACCTCGTTGGCAACAGGAACCATAGCTTTGACTGGATAATCTTTGGCCCGATTCTCAATTCGCTTCAGAATCATTGGCCTTAACTTCTTCAAATCCACCACTTTCGCCTTCGAGCTGTAACATCTGTAGCATCCAATCATGCTATCCAAGATTAGCTTACGATGGTGCCAAAGCTCCAAATATCTCAAACCCATCTTCTAAAGATTGTAAAGATGGTCCCTTTATGGTATTCTTATGCTTAGTGGGTGTACTTTTGGATGCGCAGGCATTGTAGCAGCGTCGAGGCGGAGGAGGAGGCTGGAATCATGGAGGAGGAGCAGAGTGGCAGTCTGGCGGACCAAATCTTAGAAACCGGGTCGGTAATTAGATAGAAGGGTCAGGTCCAGTGTCGAAGCCTTGTCACAAAAATAGAAAATAACCCAACAATCCGAATAAGTGGGATCAAGTCCTTTTTTTTTACCAAAAAAAAAAATTAGATAGATGGGCAGAGTATCTTTGGTTGTGGGCCAGGCCCAAGCCATAATGGGCTTTTACAGTTTCTTTGGCCATCTTTTCTGCTTGTTAAAGTGGCCGGAGATTTTTGAGTATACAGGCAATTGACGGGTTGATATTGAGTTTTCACTTAAATGAATTATATTCAATTCATTCAATTTTAGATTGAATTAATTTTGGATTGGATCATATTGGATCATCTCAAGCCCATGATCCAAATGTGACCTAATATATTAATTAATAGATTTTAATATATAAATTCTCTCAAATATATTTTTACATATAAAAAATTTTTTCACACACATAAACACATTTCACGCGCTAAAACACTTTCACAAATACAAGCACACACTCACTTCTTAAGTTCTTTAGAAATACATTATTTTTATACAATAAAATACACACTAATATACTTTTACAAATACACACATGTACTAACTGTTTAAACTATTTTGGATGAACTCATTATTTTTTATACAAATAAGGATTTTCAAATTGGATAGTGGATATAGCTTTGGTCCAAACTAAGAGACCGAAGTAACAATTTTAGTCCAAATTGGATATAACATGAAAAAATGGTATATCAATATACGATTTTTCAAGTATTGTTACTTGATTTAGCATTAGCTGTACCAAACATATTTCTAGTCCCATAAAAGATCCAATCATGTCTTAATTAAACTGAAATTTTGATGAAAGATATACAATTCTCAACCAATTAGTTCAAATATCACTATCCAAATCATTTGAAAATTCTTGCGAAAATTAACTTCTCCAGCAAAATTTCTGGATACTTTCTTACTCTTTCACAATTTTTGTTTGTTTTCCAGAAAAAGAAAAGAAAGGAAATGGTAGAAAGAGCGCCTTCTATTTTTATATCTCAATTCAACCAACCTTATAATTAACCCATTGTTTTAGAAGTATTTCATGATGTATATATTATCTCTATTGGAAGATGCGAAGGGTAAAAAGACTTTTATAGTTGTATTATCTCTATTGGAAGATGTGAAACTGTTTGCATTAACACAATTCCTTTCCAATGTATCTGAATCATAATTTCTTTATTTGTTTTTTAAATTTAAGTTGGGTAATGGGTGCTCAACACCAATATCCAAACCGCCCAAAATATATCTGGGTTTTTATTGTTCAATTCAAAATTGACCCAACACCCAAATTACTCAACCCAACCTCTCAAATTAGTAGTTAGATTGGATGGGTTGTTAAGTTTTGGGCATAATTGCCAGGTTTATTTGTTACCATTTCTTGCTTTTTTCCTTTGGGGAAATTATCACTTCTTGCTTAGAGCAAAAAATAGGTGAGTATTTGGTTTGGCCAAGTCTTTTGGGGCGAAGTTATCCATCAAGTTAAATTTTGCTCTTGTTCTTTCTTGTTGTTCCGACAACATCATCAGTTGACACAAAAAAGTATTTTTCCAAATAATTTAGGTTATTTTAGAAAAATTGGCAATCCTTTTCTCCTCATTGAATGGGCCTATTCAAATTGAGATTGTACCCTTGGTTCTCAAACACTAGCTAATAAGGAAGATATACTATTAGGATGTTTGAAATGAATAATAATGAAAATACTTTTATATTAGATGAGACTGTTATATTTTCAAGTCTCTTAATGTAATACAATGTTTAATTATCTTAAAAAGAATCAAGAGCAATTTAGAAAGTTCACACGTAATTCTGATATATTTCAAGTGCTAAATTTCAAATTAATAAAAAACGTACATGTAGAGAATGAGATAGCTTAGCTTTGAAACTTGATTAGGTCCTGCCAAATTATCTAATTCATAGGCTCATAGCAAGATCAAGTAACACTGAAAACGATGTTGATATTAAGTTACCATTCATTAATTAGTAGATCATTTACACAAATATTAGGACATCTCTAAATTCCCCTCTCTAAATGCTAAAAAACAGGGGTAGGGTCAAGCCCCTCTCTCTTCTCTCACCGCTTCTTAAATTCCATTTCTCTTTTAGTGAGGAAGAGAGGAAAAAAAAAAAAAAGAGAAGAGAGAACAGAAAAGGATCTACCCCCACAGGGTAGCTCGGACGGTGTGCTCCCCCCTCTTTAGGGTATGGCCACTTACCTGGCAATCAGGATTCGAGTCTCGTTGTTTACGTCTTCGGTGTGGAGTGGGGCCTGCTCTCCCGGAGCGCAGGGGAATTAGTCGGACCCCGTAAGAATTGACCCGGACACCCCCTATGTCGCCAAAAAAAAAAAAAAAAAACAGAAAAGGGTCTAATTGTAGCTTGACTAAATTTAATAGGATCCAAATGTAATTAACCTCATTACTAGTTAATCTTCCGAGATCTCGGGGGGTTGGCCGGGTTGGTTCCAAGTCCAATGCTCGCAAATCCCAAAATAGGACTCGCCGGAAATTCCTTAGAACATGCCCCAACCCAATTTAAGAGGTACCATTCTGATTCTATCTAAAATTCCTTGATTGCCAAGCGTCTCTTTCAGTTCTCATCAGAAATCGGATCTTGCCTTCTCTCTGTCCCCGGCCTCCCAACTTAGCTCAAGCATAGGAGAAAACTTCCCCGAGGTTACTCACTTCACTCTGACATTTTTCCTCCGATTCAGTAGAAAAACTGTCCGTTTGATCACGGTAACTTTTACTAATGCTAGCTCTTCTGATTTTCCTACTTACATTTCTGCATTGTACAGTCCACTGAGGGGGTTTTTTTTTAAATAATTTTATTTTAAATCAATTCTCTCTCGAAATTGTGTGTGCCATAATTTGTTTTCTTTTGGATCTATAATAGTCGCTGTATCTTATGTATATTTCTTTTTCTTATTTTCGATTGACAATATGATGTGGAGTAAATTCCACTTTTTCCCCTTTGGTACCCGAACAAGAATGCTAATGCGGAAGTATTACTTGTTTGTTAATTGTGGGATGACTGGATTGACAACTTGGTACCATTTAATATATTTAAGATTGTTACTTTTCGTGAATTTTGATAATGTGAGAGATATATATATTTTGGTCAGGACGCAAGTTGTAACAGCAGTTTACGTGCCAAAATAGCGAATATTGGTAAGTGGGTGGTATTGAGGTCCACATGATAATAGTGGTGCAGCTAGATTTGAGTTGGATGTTAGTAATAATTTAGGGTATTGAACCGTTTATGGAACAACTCCGAGCAATGCTTAGGAGACAATGATTACTCAAGCAAAGTTTGGTTTGGCAGGAAAAGTGAAACATATTTAAGCACAAGCAAATTGTATCACTAAATTTTAAATATCTATCTTAACTATATATTTGTTGTCTTGGCTTCACTGCAAATGCAAATCATAGTTTTGTTCAGTGGTTTTCCTGATACTTTAGATTTCGTATACTCAATCAACATGTATCTTCAATGTCTCATTCTGTGCTCCACTGTTTGCTTCCTGCCTCTCTTTCTCTCTCTGTGCTGCCTTCTCGGTTTTGTCCTCTCCAATGCTTATCTTGCTTAGTTTATATATTTATGTGTCATTGTCCTTGAATTGCAGGTGATGTACATGTTGGGAATTTGAAGTAGTTATACGTGTCTTATTTGCTACCTCCATCTATGTTTGGAGGTCCTGTTTCTGTTCCTACCAATAGTCCGCATTTACGGAAGTCTGGTAGCAGACCAGTTGTTTATGATCTTGGTGAGAGAAGCATTGAGTTTTGAGTTAACATTCCTCAGTTGAATATGCTGTCCACGTTTCTTATTGCCTAGTGTTACTAATAGGTACAAGTGAGTTAGGAAATAGTGCTGAAGGAGATTTCTTGCTGCCAATAGAGACGAATGAGATGAAGGGTGTTAGCACACCATTGAGCACCGCTGCAATCTTGCCATCTCCTATTCTGCTTTGGAGATTCAAGGTGCCACTTATTAGTGCTATGTGTTGATAGTAACAGCTTATGGTAGGATTTCTTGAAGTCTTCTCAGATCAGCTGAGAAAAATTTTCTGAGTTGCTCTTTCACTGGTTATTTGATTTTGGTTACTTTTTAGAGTACCAAATTTTTTCTGGCATAAATGGTATGTGAAATATTGTTTAGCAATGATGGTTGTCATGAGCATGGATAAGGTATGAGTTTTTATGAGTCTTTAAGGGTTTCTAGATAGGAATTGTTATCTGTCAACACAATAGGTATGAGTTTTTATGTTTGTTGGAATAAAAAAGGTACGAGTTTTTAGTCTTTAAACTGTTTTTATTGGCTATATTATTTGTATTGAGATTCTAACAGTATGGATTAGGAGTATAACTTTGTGTTCCATAGCTTATCTCTGCATTTTGCAATCCTTGTTTTTAGTTATCAATTCTTGGTGTCGGCTTCATAATTGTTGTTCCTACAAATATCCAGTTTCAATTGCTTTTACTATATTCTGGTAAGAGTCTAACTTAGTTTGATGATCAGGTAATATTATTTTTCATCTGGGGTTTCATTTGCTGCAAGGTCAGTTTGACATCTTTCTTCCTATCTGAACAGTCTATCTTTTGTCATTACCTGGCATGGAATTGCTGTTTTTAGGGACCCTTGTACTTGTTTGTATGGTAGAATTTGATGAATTTTTTTATTATTGTAGATTGGATGGGATTCGGTCATGAGAATGAGTGCAGACCTCCGGGACTTATTCTTGTATGAGGCTTTTTTGTACTATAATCCTCTTCTTCTTGTGGTAAGTGAATGTTTTCTGGTCTATGGTCTTGGAATTTAGATTTACCTATTACAGTTTCCATGGTTTTGTTATTTCTTTTATTAAACCATGTTAGTTTCATTGATCTCATCATGGCAGACAATGACAGTTTGGCTTTGGGGAGTCAACTTATGGGTTTTTCAGCATTCTAATGTCAATTACGCTAAAATTTTTGACCTCGACCAGAATCATCTCACACATAAAGAAATATGGAAGGTAGAAATATATATACAGTATCCTATTGTGATATTGCTACATGTACTGCAGATTTCTTTTTTCTTGGTTTAGATTATTTCCTCACTGCTGGCATTCCCTCTGCTGTTAGTTGAACGAAACTGTCATTATTTAAGTTGATCAAATTTCGACTTAAAACCTTTGCCTGCTTTTTTAAGGAAAATCATATTTCATTAAGAAAAGAATGAATTTATCTTCTTTTTTTTTTTCCACAAACGAAATGAATTTATCTTCTTGAAAACCAAAATTTATACATAAATCCATAGTTTTTATGCAGTAAATTCTCAAGAAAGTATTATGTCAATTTGAGATTTAATTATATTTTGTTTGATATTGCAGTGTGCCACCTGGATGACAATCATTGTCCCAACTAGCATGACTTCATATTTATATCTGTACTCTCATGGAGAGGTTGCATTAGCTGCGTTTCAACCAGTGTAATAGATGATTCTTCTCTCAGTAATCACTCTTTGCTTGTAATATTGTAATTACTTTATCTTTTAGATGTGGGGAACCCCTCATCCATACTTTTGCTTATCTTCAAATTAACCTTTGATTTGAGATGTTGCATGAATCAAAAATTTCTGGAGTCGCATTAAGTGAATCATTTGAGGCTTATATTGCGAGCCAGATGATCCCAATTTGCTATAGGACGGAATAATTATTGCTTCTGATAAATTCATAGTGCTTTGTAAATTATATTTTCCAAAGTTTATATATACAAATTTAGTATTGATACTGCTACTGTACTAATGAATCTTCAACCATGGTTGCTGGTCACATCCTTTTTGCTATCTTCTATGTTGTAAAAATAAGCTTGACATTTGTCACTGCAGGTGCTATTATATGCTGCTGTTGCAATGGCCCTTTTGTCTCCCTTTGATCTATTCTTTTTGTCATCACGCTACTTTCTGTTGAGAACTCTTTGGCGAATAGTTTTCCCATTGCAGGCAAGTTTATGATCTTTTAGAATATGGCAGATATCTTGTAGGTATACCAAATGAAAGAATTGTTGATTCTCAGCTCATATACTATGAACTCAACTGAATTTGTAGTGAACTTACCTTGAACTTCTGGAGGTGGATACAGAAGCATGAGAGTTTCTTCATCTCTAATTTTGTGTACATGTATGTGGGCTTTCCAGAATCAATTTGCAAGTGTTACTTCATAATTTGACTAGGAGAAGTAAAATAAAGAACTACAAGAGGAATAAAAGGGGACAAGAAGCAGGGGACATGTCAACTAAAGCTAGTAATGGCTGTTTTTTTGGCATTCAATTTCATGTCTTTATTATAGTACCAAAAGGACATTTCTTTACAGTACTTCTTGTGTTTTGAATACTCCTTGGATCATTTGGATTTAGGGCAAATAATTACTTTTTCTTTGTTGCAACATTTAACTTTTTCTCTAATGCTTTTTACAGCGTATCACATTTTCTCTTGTTTTTATTTAATCTGTGTGCACAGGCAATATCATTTGCTGACTTCTTTTTGGCTGATATATTAACCTCCATGTCAAAGGTATGCAGTATGCACTTTAGTTGCTCTTAAATGTTTCCTGCCCTGATACTGAGTTGATTATCCGTATCCATACTACGGAGAGAGCAATAGTAGTGTTTTACCTTGGTTTGTGGAGTTTCTGGAGGTTGATTCCACATTTGCGTTTCAATTTTTTTGGCTAGCATGCTAATTTGTTTCCAGAGAATGTATTGGGATCTTTTGAGAATTTATGCAATTCTGCATGCATGACCATGCCCAAATGAAGTTAGGGCAAGAGGGTTGTCCTAATGCTGTTTAGATCCATTTTATTATGTCAAGTGGATCTTTTGAACGTAGCTAAATGGGAAAATCTTATCCTAAACTGAGCGAATTGGGAATTCACAGAGATCTGATGTTTAATTGAAATGGCATTATTTGGCTTTTGTTATCTTGATATGAGTTTAGATTTGTCCAAATAAAGCTATGTTTTATAACTTCTGCAGCTATTCTATAAAACTTTATGCAGGTGTTTTCAGATTTGGAGCGTTCAGTTTGTCGGATGGTTCATCGACAGGTCTATTACTCTCTCAATTCTCTTGTTGTTTTTATTATCACTGTTATTCTTTTTCTGAGAGTTAGTAAGATGCACATTTCTATGACTTGTTTTAATTGATGCCTCCTGTGTCTAATTGTTTCTGTATGTTTTCACTTGATTGTTTTGCTATCATGCTTTTTCAATCCTTCTGTGTAATCATGTTATGATCCCTCCATCTTGTTTATGTCAGAGTTAGTTCTTTTTGTGTCAGTTTTTTAGATTACCTGGGATAAGCATTATGTTTGGTTTGCTATGCACTTAGAAGAGTTATCAGATTTTGGGTGGTGTCACTTGGCCACACAAGCAACAAATCAGGTTGTAGAAGTTTTATGGGACTTGTCAAGAATCTTGTGGCAATGCATGGGGTAATGCAGACTTTTGGATAAGAAGCAGAAAGCTGAGTTGACTAACTCTTCACTCAAGGCCTTCGTAGAGATTATTTTTGGTTTGGAAGTAGCAGACCAAGGTTAATGTAGATTTACTCACCCAGAGTCTAGCCATTTACCTGAAGGGGTCCCAACGAAGTTGTATGGGATATTCATTAAGTATCAGTTGAGGGGAATTGTACTCCATGTTGCAGTTCTGAGAGATTAATTTTCAGAACTTTTATTGGGAAACTATAGTCAGATGTGTCCTTTAGTCCTTGTCATTTCCATTGATTAAGTTGGTAATGAAATTAAGTTGGTACTGCTCAAGATTTTTGTCATGCTTGCTGCCTTGAACTTGTAATGGGTTTTAAACAATAAATTTTCTTTTTCTGCTGTTTTACAAGTTGGACCGCTTTACCAGTTTATGCAGTACCTGTTTCTCATCTGAAGAATTAGTTGATGCTATGTGCAGGTTGCCACAATTGCATGGTTTGAAGCTGATTCTGTTTGTGGCAGTCATTCTGTTGCAATTCCCATAGTTCTCGTTTTGCCTTACCTTTTTCGTCTCTTTCAATGTCTTCGGCAATATAAAGATACTAAGGAAAAAACTTCCTTGTTCAATGGTAATTCCTGACACATTGCTTTTTCTCTTGTTGTGTTAAACTGTTTGTTGGAGGAAGTGGTGAAAAGATACCATTTTGCATGGTATTTTCTGCAATCGCACAGATTGCTTTTGCATGATTAGAAGTGTTTGAAACCCATGATGTTCTTGTCAAGTTCGAAACAGTCATGAAGTTCTTGTAATGTCTTTTGGGTTCCCTTGCTTGGCTCGGCGAGTTGATGATTTTTACTACTTTCTTATGCTGCAAGGCCATGAATTTGCAAAGTCTGATTTGTTAGGATAGTAGTATCCTATGTCAGTTCTCAAGGTATTTTGCTTTTCTTGGGGTTATTTGACTGATTTATGCAAGACATCTAATTGCTTTTTACTCTTTGCTTATTATGGAAAAAGTACTTGTGCTCTTGGTTGAGAATTGTAAGAAACATGAAAATTTTCATGCGGAACAATGCAGTAAATTTTGTGTATCTGCTTCCTTATTCACTCCCTTTTATCACCTTTACTTCCTTAGTAAATAGTGCATTTGTTATTTCAGGAAGTTATTACAATATTCAAATGCTTAACTTGGCGCCTATTTTCTGTCAATTTGTATTTTTGGAACAAGTCCGTGCGAGGATGAAGATGTTTTGTTAAGAAAATGTAATCCTTCCTTGCTTCATTATCATGTATTAAATCATTACCCTTCCTAATGGTTTTCAGCTTTAAAGTATTCGACGGCAGTACCAGTAATCTTTGTTTCAGCCCTCAAGTATCACGTCTTTCCTGATAAGTGGATGAATGTATACCGACCTCTATGGCTTCTTTCTGGTGTTTTAAACTCTTTGTATTCTTTTTACTGGGACGTGACCCGAGATTGGGACTTGAGGTATGCAGCGCTTTCTGCTTCCAGTACTGACATTTAAAATTCTAATCTAGTTTGTGTCTGCGTGCATGCGTATGTGTGTGTGTGTGTGTGTCTGTCTATGTAGTGTATATACATCCTGTTGTGAACTTATTATTCACTACGCACATGGTGCATGGGCATGTGTCAACTTTGAGTGAAATTGCTTAGTTTGGAAGCAAGATTTATGAAGTTTTTCACCTAAGATTTGATGTACCAAATTCTTGATGCGAATGAAAGAACATTAATTACCGCTAGATAGTTACCGTTCAGTTCGTGACACAAGTGCATTGCATCTCTGGTTTAGGCCATCTAAATCAATTGTATCTTTTAACAGTAATCTACCTTTTTGTTCTCTGCAGTTCTTTCACTCGGATTTTCATGTTCAGCAAACCCCATCTCATGTCCCACTTGTTATACGGACGGAAATGGGTAAGAAGTTTAGTTCTAATTAGGTTCAACTCTTCTTCTTTTTGTTGACAAGTTCAATGGCGAAAATCAATACGGACCAAGATATAGTTAATGTGTGTGTAAAGAAGTTGGCAAAGCAACTCTTGCCTGCCAGTTTCACGAGGAACTATTATGTGCCTGTTAATGCCACAGGCCCACTGCATCAGCTGATGTGGCCTTCAGTTCCATGAGAATTTGACCTTTTAATGCTGTGGCTTCATTTAAAGTTTCATTTCCAGATGTGAAAGCCAGATTTTTCTGCAGTGTGATGATGGTTCACTACCCTGTTGTCTTCCCTACTTTTTGATAGTAGTGACAAACTGCTTGAAATAGTCTTTATTGGCGCTTATGCATATTAACAGGAATCTATCTATTCCTTCTTGTTATACCTCAGGTATACTTCTGGGTAATTGGAAGCAATCTCATCCTGAGATGCACATGGACATACAAGCTGTCTGCTCATCTCCGCCATAATTACATCACCGTGTTTACAATCACTGCCCTGGAGATTGTTCGCCGTTTCCAATGGGTCTTCTTTCGTGTAGAGAATGAGTGGAACAAAATGAATTCTAAGTCAAATATTGAGCTGTCTATGTCTGAACTGCCAAATGAGGAAGAGAGATTGCTCAACTCTAACGGTCACAATGTATGAGTTTCTGAATAGATCGATCTTTTGCAGCAGTATGAAGATAATCAACACCATCATATTTTGCATGGAAGAGTTCGTCTGTTGCATTCTTTCACGGCCATAAACTCGAGAAATGGATTTTTGTTCATAATATAGCAAGTTTTTGATGATGACAGTTCCTGCAGCTGTACAAAACATATCACTGTTCTTTCGATGATTACAGCAAAGAGGCAGTCTTAGCCATTTTTTAATTCCTGACAGAGACTTGCAACTGTTTTTGTTGTTAAATTTTTTTTTTCTCTGCAACGATAACATTTATATAATCTATTCTAACTTAGATTAGGAAGAGGGGGAGCCAACGGGACTCTGTCGGAGGAAGTCACTTGAAGTGACATCCACAATTAAGTGATAATTATGTGGTGAGAGATATAGAACTTGAATTCTGAAAGAAGCGGTCGTTGTTGGAAAGAACGCTTGAGACTGAAGTCTAAGTGAAACATAATTATTAAGATAGAATTGGATCTACTGATGTTTTAGATGCTAACTACAATTAGCTGTTTCTTTCGTGGTACTTAATGCTTTTTTCTGTTAAGATAAATGATCATCGTCTCAATGCTGTTGACATGTCAGCATCATTTCAGTTATGCTTGGCACTTTAGGCCTGATTTAATGTTTCTTATAGCAGCCAAAAGCCAGCTCTAATCTTTCGGTGCTTGAAAATGCCTACACAGCTCGTCTGGACCATGTTCTCAATAATCGGAATCTACACTTGAGAAGCACAAGAAATAATGGATTCAATCTTTGTATTTTTTTTTTTTTTTTGAAATTGGATAGGAAAATTGTTTGTGAACCAATGCACAGAACCCCGCTATAATTCTCGGAAATAAAGTAGATTCAGGATCTAATTGGACAAGAATATGTCAATTGTAAGATGATCATGTTACGAGATTACCGCACGTCAAAGACAAATCAGACGCAGCCTCAATTTGTACCTGTAAACGTGAATGGCTTTCATTCACGCCAACAACTTTATGACTGTTGTTGATGCAAAATTAGTTAGATCGTATAATCACTGATGGTTGGTTGCAGTTTATCAAGTGTTTGCAAGACATTGCCTACCGTACCGGTAAAACTCGCTTCACATCATCACACGTTTCAGTTGGTGGTCCAGTTCTCAGATTCCGCGACTGTTCAGTGGAGTATGGTATCAGCCCAGTCCAGTCAGGTCAAAAGAAAAACAGCAGAGGAACAGCCACCAGAAGAATTTTAGAATAAATCCAAATGCTCAAGCTTACTAGGAAAGAAGATTGCCAGAGGACCCTCTTTTGTCGTTTGAATATTTCCTTCCTTATCCTGTGAGTCCTCTCCCAACATACATCATATATGATATAAACCCCTCCATTTTGTGGCTTCAGTTCCTTGCTCATCTTTGTCTCAAAGAGTCAAGCCCCACTTTCTTTTGTCTTCTCCTCCTAACCTTTCTTTTTCCCTTCTTGACAATTCATGTTCCAATTACCCAATCTCGCATGTTTGATTGATGGGATCATCACTTGCACTAAAACCACATATTTATTATTTTTCCCAACTGGTTTGTCAAAATTGGAATACTTGCATGCAATTTCAAGCAACCATACAACTCCATAGAAACTGATTTTCGTGCTACATCAAAATTGTCAAATTTATTCTCATGATTCCACAAACTGCACCATTTCTTGAACAAAGTAAGGTGTAAACTGAAGTATGCCAGAATCTTGAATCCACAGGAGCTAACATATTTTCCCGCCAAATTCTGTTTTCCTTAAATCTTTGATCCCATTGGCGATAGTTCAGCATATGGAGAGGTTTAGTCAAAGGGAAAATGTTTTACTGGGATATAGTCGACAAGGATCCTTTGAGACGTCAACGAAAACATCGGATGGAGACTCGGACATGGATTTCAGTGATGTTTTTGGGGGCCCTCCAAGGCGATTTTCCATTCGAGAAACCAGAAATAGATATAGTTTCTGTGAAGCAAGAGAGGAGTCTGATGAAGATGCAGTTTTGTCAAGAAGTCCATGGCCTGTTTTAGACGAAAAACCAGTTTTTGGTGAAGAAGGTGTCAACAGAAAGTCATATCCAAGTGATGATTTTTATGATGATATTTTCAAAGGTGATGAGGCTAAGTCTCGGAGGACTAGCAGGGACTTCTTTGCTTCTTCCCCCGGTTCCCGGATTTCAAGCCCCTCTAGGCCATTGCCACCCAAAGCTGAGCCTCTTAGCACGTCATACCCTGCTCAATTCAGGTAAAGATTTTATTATCATTTTCGTCGTTTCGATTTTCTTTCTTAAACGATTCTCTAAGGTTTCTTAATTGGATAGGAAGAGGACATTTTAACTGAGAGATTCCTGCACTTTCATAATGACATAGAAGGTGAATTTGTGTTCTCCAGAAGGATTATAGAGCTTGCAAAACTTTAGGTTGCTGTTATTTTACTTTTCATGGCCTTTCTGAAATGGAAAGGATACGAGGGAGATTTTAGCTAAATATTGCTGCCTTGCCAAGGTGGATTCTTTTTCTTGTGACATGGAAAGGATATTAATCTCTTATTTTTTCTCGACATTTGTCATATTTATTCCTTTCTTCTGTCTGGTACTGCTTTACCTGTTTTAATCAGAAAGGTGCCATATTGCAAGTAGCGGGTGGTTAAATTTGTGGTATTTGAACCTTGTTCTTCAACTTGTAATAGGTTTTTATCCAATAATTCCTTTGTCATGTTAGTTTGTTTTCCATTTCGTTGCTTTGTTATTCCTACAAGTAGTTACGTTACTGAATCGACCTGAGAAGTTAATTCAAGCATAAATGAACCATTTCTCTGTGCTCCTCCTGTGGCATAATTATCATCTCTACATTACAGTAACTTATATGTTGTGCTAGAAATTCTACGCAGATTGTGCTGGTTATGACTTATGAGATTTACTTTCCTTTTTTTCTTTCCTACGTGTATTGCATCTAATTTGAAGTGCTAATGAAATGTCCCAGCCTTCCAGCCAAATTGACAAAAGCAACGGATTTTCCTCTCTTTGGTACCACAAATCGTAGTTCCTATAAGAACAAAGATGGACTGTCAAACGGCACAAGCTATAAAAACAAAGATGAACACACTTCTCTTTCTAGATTTGCAAACCAAGCAACAGAGGTACAGGACGAGGCAAGAAAAGATCGCCCAGTTTACCGTCAAAGCCCCCTATCACAAGAAGCTTCTCATACTGGTGAGAATTGTCATGAAACCAAATCCATTGAAAAAGACATGGGAGCCAAGTTAAAATATAAAACACAAGGCAAGGAAGTTCCTCTTAATAGTGGCCAGTTTCACTTCTCCATATACAAATGGGCAGGCAGCGGAGTACCTCTATTGATACCGCTTGGGGGAAGGAGTAAATCGAGATATAAAGAAAATTTTAAGACTGAGAGATGTTCCAGTTCTAATGGAAGGATTGAAAGTGATATTATTGGTAGGCATTTACCAACCGTGGAAGAGCACATTATATCTATAGATACGAAATCTTTGACCTTGAAAATAGATAATGAAAAGCATGATGACAGTAGCAATGACAAGAAGATAGATTCCTGCAGTCAAGTTGAAGAAACACATCTGAAAGTTCCAGAACCAAAACTCTTCGAAAGTGAAGGAACTGTTGCTCAACTTGATGACAATATCACAAGGAAGAAAACAGAAGAAGAATCTCTTTCAAAGAATGAAACTAACGTGTATGCAAAAATTGAAAAAGAATTTTCTACCAATAAAGGGCAAACTCCAAAGGCTCACACAAAATCCCTGCATGAACTGCTCAAGGATGAGAACGGGGAACAAGGTAATCTGTACTGCACATCAAGCTTCTACTTCATCTCTATGCTACTTTATATTGATTATATTTAACTTCGTGTATGCATTGCCACTAAAGGAAATGAAAACAGCTTCTACATCAAGACCACAAATGTAGCCAGTAATAATGTCAATGTCAGAACTAGTCCAAAGAAAACTGATGCAAGAAGCACCAGTGGCAACAGATCAGAGATGACTAATGCTAAGAAAGGTTCAGCCACAAATTCAGGAGATGCCATTGGTGGAACTAGAGTTAAAGGAAAAGTGAAGGAGTTTGTAAAGATCTTCAACCAGGAAACTACAGCACAATCTAATGCCAAGTTTGACAGCAAGGGCTCTAGGTGGCAGGGACTGGAAATCAACAGGTCTGAAAATGGGATGAGCACTGCAGTCAAAACAGATGAGAACGTGCATAAGCTGGATAACATGGCAGACGCTTCCAGCAGGGTACTTTATAGCATCCGTTATTTGTTAAAGTTTCTATTTGTATAACCTCATAGGAAGTCATTTTTTCCTGAAGACAGTGGAATTTCTTGAATCACATCTTTTCATCTTGCAGGTGGATGCTAACTTCAACAAGAATAAAGTGAATCAAGAATCACACTTCAAGAGCTCGGTTCACAAACCTAGTGATCCATCTACTAATGAGAGCAATTCTTCAAATTTTTCTGGTTAGCTATCTCAGCTTAGTCTTATGGCTGTAGCTTTTCATTCTCTTCAAATATATTTCTTTTTGCAACTCTGTTGGTGTTGTTTATTTTCATAGTGTACACAAATATAGTCCTCGAATTTTTCTGATATTTTTCCTTCTTTTCCCAGATTCACTTCCCAAGGATTATGACAACAATGTTGAAAACAAAGATGACTCCTTCTTCCTGGTATGTACTTGATTCTTTGTTATGTGTCAAAAGATAATGATGCTGGATATCTTTGTATATATCTGTCTTAGGATGTTTGAGTACGACACTGGATTGCTGTTGTTCAATCATAGTAGATATTAATGGAATAAACTTCATGCCCTGCAGGCTGTTAGGTTAGAGAAAGTAAATTTATCCACATTACGGTATTAAGAGCAATTATGTTGTTAAAGTGTTGAATGATGCATGGACTTTCTAATAGCTAGTCATATTACACTCGTTGTCAGGTTGAAGACCTAACTCATGATGAGGAGAAAGATTTACAAACTAGTGGACTTTCTGCAGAAATCCAAGTGAGTTTGTTTTATTCATAATGACTTTCAAAATTCTTAACCTGCTGTTTTGATATCCCTACGTCTGGATGCAGGCTTCAAATGCTAAAATTCAACAATGGTCAAGTGGAAGGAAAGGAAATATCCGCTCACTGCTGTCAACATTACAACTTGTAAGATCAAAATTGCTAGTAATGATTAAATGCGGAAAAGGTGTTCGATGAAATGCCTCGGTGAAGTTTGCTTTGTTATTGTAGTAACAATTAAACACCTGGGTTTTGTGAAATCAAGGACTAATCATGCTGGTGTTGAATTTTCTTAATTTGACAGAAAGATTTTCCTTTTTCTCGTCTGGGTTTTAGGAATAATGAAAATGATTTCCAGAATTTCAGCAAGGAAGATAGAAAGGGCGGGAATGAAACTGTGACTGATACTGTATTGGGTCTTTAGCATGGAATAGGCAAGAACAAAAATTGTTGTTGTCTTGCTTCCTGTAGAAATCGTATCTTTATACTTCCAAAAAAGTCCCTGCCTCGTCGTTGGTTTGTGTACAGAAACATGTGTTTTGGGTAGCGCTACTGTATAGATCCTCAGTTGGCACAAGAATTTTAGTTAAGGAATTTAATTCATGCGATAAAATGTTAAGCGACCAAATTGGCTTTAGTGAAATAATCTGAGAACTAAATTGGTGTTTTTCCCTTTCCTTTATTCCCATACCTTTGTGTGCCCAGCAAAATTAGAAGTCATTATTCGCCTTTTAACATTCTTTAAATTTGTTTTTCTCTAGCGTACAAGCAAATTTATACATTTTTTTAACCCATTGTAAATATATACTATATATATATATATATTTTTTTTTTGGATTGTTATGGATTTCTTGAAAAAACTTGCCGGGCAAGCTCAAATTTACTCCAACTTGTTTTGCGGACAACGCAGCCCTTGGACTACTTGATACCTGATAAAGATAAATCAGCCTGTTCGTTAACAGCTTATTAATCTAAATTCCGTCGAGTGTTTCTTTTTTCCCCTCGAAATGAGGCAAACTATCTGAGGCTGCATTTGACAGATATATTGCACTAATTTCGGTTCAGCAGCCTTTGGAACCTGGTTTGGATACCGTTTGTGATTGGAGTATTTTGGACCTCAAAATTATTATGGTCAGCGTTCACACTTCACCAAAAAATCCGCCCACCTTTTCCTGCATTTTGCATACTTTCCTTGCCCGTAACCTTTTTACTTCTTCAACTTAAAAAAAAGTGTACGTCTCTCCATACATACCCTTTTCGTCCAGATACACGAAACTTTGACTTAATGAAAAGTGAATCCTCCAATATTCTTGGACACGTGACCTTGCTTTTTTATCGGTTTCTCTCAAGAGGGTTCCGTTGAGATTGTTCAATTCTTGATTCTAATTTTCAGAAATCTGGTCCGGGGTACTGCATAGTATTGTGATTAGTATTTTTCTGTGTGGAATAAATTTGTTGTTAGTCTTAGGAGGTTAAGGATGGTTGGACCATTATCTCTTGTTGCTTCACCAATCACTGATTCACATGGATGTCCACGCTTGTGTTTGGATGCTCTGCCTTCATGCAACTTGAGTAGTGGAGATCTGATTACGAGTAGGAATTTAGTTACTAGTAGGAGGCATATGCCAAGACCTACTGGATCATTGGAGCTGAGTAGCCCTTTTCTTGATTCAGTAAAAGCTCTGTCTGGTGGTAAGAGTTTGAGAGAGCAGAGGAAGAACAGGAGTTTGAAGATTGTAAGTGAAGTGGCCGGACAATACGAGGAAAACTTTGCTGATGTAAAAGCTGTAAGAACATTCACTCTTTGTCCTAGATGCTTATTGTGCTTCCTTTGATCCCTGGTATGGTTAATTTTTTGCTACATGTTGATTAATTTATTATGGGAGAATGTACTGGTGTTGCTATTTGCAGCTTTTTGTGCCTTTGCGATACTAAATTCATTGTACCTTTTGGCAAGTAATTAGGAACTATGAAAAGAATGTTGGCACATTAATTGGAAAACCACGTCTAGCCAAGGGGTTGTTCTTAACCATTTATGATCAGCAGCATATTAGTTATAGATTAGAAAATTATTCATGAACTAACTGATGATGGGCAAATGGAAATAAAAAGGTATGATAAACTAGCTATATTTTTGAAGAAAGAGAAAGTTATTATCTATCTACAATTTGGCTATATTATTATCAACAACTGCATTCACATTATTCATTGAGAATAGAATTATCATGGGTAGTTGGGTGCGATTATATGTTCCACACACTAAATCATGTTTGCAGAAAGATATTGGATTGATCTTTGCTGCTGTGTGTCTTTGGTGTATTGTGTATATTGGATATGCTACCATCACTTCATGTTCGTTATCCTAATTGTGCATGAATATCAAAATTGCCTTAGTTACAATCATAGTAGACTCCAATGATTAGATAGATTTTTATCATTCACTTCCTCAAGTTGCTAAATGAATCGGCTTGCAGTCAATTCTTAACTTTTTCACATACAAAGCTGTGAGGACTGTTATGAACCAGCTCTCTGAGATGAACCCTCCCCAGTACCGATGGTTTAATGAGTAAGTAAAATTTTCCTTCTGAGAGATGTTCTGCCTGCTTTTTTCATTCTTGATGTCCAGCTTTGTATATCTTCAGACACAGCAAGTAAAACTTGGATCTCACTTAAACATCATATTCGAACAAGCAGAGTTAAGCCTGAAGTCATGCCTACTGTTCACAATATGCATTTTTTCTGCTGCTTCTCTTTTCTTTTACCTATCTGAGTTTATACAGGAAGCGAGTTGCAGGTTTTTCATCGATGAGTTCTACAATCAAAACTTCTTACTTTGTTGCCCTTTTTGTCTTCTAACTTCCAAAGAAAGATTGCTTCAAGTTCTTATGTTTTGTGATTTTACTATGTGTTTCAACCTCAACAGTTATGTTGCTGCAAATAAGCCTCGTGATGGGAAGCGATTCATCCGCAGCCTGGCAAAGGTATCCGCTGGGGAAGTCTTATAGCATTGGGTGCATGAATTTCTTGATTAGTGGCAGGCAAGCCTAATAGGTTCAAATCCATCATCTTTTGACAGGAGAAGCGTGAACTCGCAGAAAGAGTGATGGTAACACGACTTTACCTGTACGGAAAATGGATTAAGGTAAAAAGAGAATGTTGCTGGTTTAATATTGTGACAAGGATCCTTTTGTGCCTGTGGAAGATATGCACTGAGATATTTTGCACTATTGGTATCTGTTTTTCTTTTTTCTTTTTTTTTCACTTTCAGAAATGTGATCATGCTGCAATATACAAAGAAATCTCTGATCAAAATTTGGAGTTGATGCGAGAGCGGCTCATAGAGACAGTAATCTGGCCTTCTGATGATACAAACACTGAGAAGATTGGATGAATGGCTCCAGCCACTTTCAACAGTTTAGATCTTCTGCTATATTTCTCGTTTGTGTAATACATACTGATTTGGCCGATAGGAAAATTCCGTTATAGTAGTGATTTACTTTTAAGGTAAGGATTGGAATTGTTTTAATCACATTGTAGTATGTGAATATATATATTCTTTAGATTAGCTTAAAAAAAGGAATAGGAAAAACGGCTTCGATTTTGTTATTTGTACAAAAACATTTCTTTCCTCCCATTGTGCCTCACCAATGTAGGGGCAATTAATTCAATCTCAAGCCTAGTTTTCTCAAGAGAGAGGAATGATCATATGCTCAACACAAAAAAAAACAAAAAGTATTATAATATTTTTTTTTTCAAAAAATTTATGCCGAATAATCTACTATCCAAACACACTACTCAATTTTAACTGAATTTACCAGTCAGACGGCATATGAAATTACCGCAGTGAAAGATTGCAACTGCTATCCTATTTCTGATACCGAGGTGATTGAATTCTTGGGACACTACAACTAGCTGCACAGCTTGACACATAAATTTCATCCGCAGCTATTATTGCATTCCTTTAGCCATTATTGCCATGCACAAGATACCCATGGAGGGTTTCAACATTAATGGGATTAGGACTCATAAGAGGCACAAAAAGAAAATCCAGGCACAGGCAGCAGCTGCAGAGGCACTGAGGAGATGGTGCAAACGTGCAAACTGCAATAGCCCAGTTGACTTCTCCCATTGTTCCAAACAAAAAAAAGAAAAAGAAAGAAAGAAAATTGTTTGAGCGGACTTGTATAACTTCATCAGATAGTTGTTAGGTGATTGAATTTGCTGCTGTCCTAAAAGGGTACACATTGAAGACCACAAGATTTTGTTAGCACTACTTCAATTCACATGCTGGGCAGCGGGCAGTTGAGGACTCGGTATTTATTCTATTCCACTTTCATCTAAAAAAAAAAAAAAAAAAATTTCCACTGCATAATTGTTGCCAGCATAATATGATGATTAGTTGGATAAAGAATATGCACCTGCAAGACAATATAAAATTAGGAAAGCAGTGAGAAACTAAAGGGAATGTAATGAAATCCGCCCTAGACAAGACAAGTATACTATACAACCATCAACCATGGGTTAAAAACAGAAAGAGGGAAAAAGGGGAAAATGATCTGGATAACACTTCTAAGTCCTAAAAGTTAGCCGTTGATTACGAAACTGCTTCACCTGCACTTCTTTTCTTTGAAGGCAAAAACTTTCTTTTGCAGTTCCCGGCGTAAAGGCCAAGAAATTTCAATGTGAAAAAAAAGGGATGACCCATATCTACTAGACTGCTACTCACCCATTTTCTTCCAAACTTCAACTAATAAATATACTGGTATTTATCTGTCTGTCCAGAATTCCAAAATGCACAGCCTGAGCCAACTAATTATCTATCTATTTATCTAACCATGCAATGAGGAATTTGGCAGTGACAGTGAAACAATCGTTTATTTATCTAAGAGACAGCGACTCCTCTCTTGTCTCTGCATCGTTTGGTTATTTCGTTTACTAATAAGTTGGGCACACGTACATGTTCCGCTTGACAAAGGTAGGCCACATTTGTGATGGCGATGGTAGAATTTACACTCAGTGGGGATGGCGATGGCCTTAGTTTCAAGGCTGCTTTTATCCATGCGAGAACAGTTTTCAATTTTCACCCCCTTTTCTCCATGAGCGTTAAATCCAATCGAGCTTTTACAAATCAAAGCAATCGGAAAAGGAGCTTGGATAAAGGAGCTGTAGCATACTAGCATGAATCAAGTCACAGACTACATCATTTTGATTCATTTCTTGAAATTCTTTTAGATCAGTTACAGAAAGATGACAGTCAAAGTAAACAGCTGCGCCAGTATTATTAAACTGTTCTCTTTGTCAAGGTTAGTAGTTTCGCATTGGCACCAAAACCATGGCAGAAGAAAGGGGGTCCCCTCAGTCCCTCACAGCAGCCGACCAGACCACCACTCGCCCCAATTCCCATGCATTTTCTTACACAGCCTT